GTTTTCATGATCAATCTCTGATGGCAAATCATTTGCGAAAGAACAATCTTCTTAAATCTATCATAAATGCAACAAATTCTCAAGCCTAATCCAGTGTGAATGACTGAAAAAAGAAATACAAACTCACGTAAATCAATTGATCGAAGTCTCACCATGATGTAATCAAATTATTAAAAAAACTATGGCCTTTTGGTTCAATCGTATGTGTGAATTAAAACGCCATGACGAGGGGGGGGGGGAAAATAGAAGGAAAAAGAAGTGGAACTCACACGGAAGAACTCGAGCTGGTCCTCGAGGTTCTCCAGCGCGGACCGGATGGCGGCGAGGCTCCTGGCCTCCGCCACCGCCGCGCCGTCCTCCGCGGCCCCAAACTCCTTGACGAAGACAAACCCTCCATTTCCATCACCGGCGTCCCCTCTGCGGCCCGCTGCAGGCTCCCGCTCGCCACGGCGGACGTTGATGGAGCGCAGGAAATGGGCGCGGGAGGTGGCGTCGTTGATCATGTCGTGGAGGTCACAGACCCTCTCCAGCACGGCATCCACATCCTCCATCTCCTAATTCACCGACCACAAGAAGGAAGTTTAGGGTTCGGTGGACCCCCGCTTCGGGGACGAAAAAGGAGGGAAAGAAGCCCAAATGAAACCAAAAGAAAAGAACCAGGCCGGGCCTAATTCCAGTATCTGTTCGGCCCAAAATCAGCCCAATCAAATTAAATCGTCGATGACATTGCGATCGAATAACAACCAATACTTGATCATCGTCGGTAGGTTCTCTTTTTATGTTTCGGCCACAAATACTCATTCATTTATCTCGTACAATTAGTTATTATTATTATTGTCATGTGGATCCGAGCCGGTTAACCGGCCGTATAACACGTCCGATGTCAAACCCGGTTCACAATTTTTTTCAGGTCGGACCCACCGATCCGATCTGTTCCGTGACCACATGTGGCCCCATTTTTTATGCCAAAAATGTCACGTCTATCTAATGACATCGGATGGTGACCACGCATTAATTGAAGCATGGGGACGATCCTCTCTAACCCACCCCGAGTTCCCGGAGGAGGAGACGGGTCCGGCCGGTCATGTTAACCTAATTCGTGCAAGCTTGCTTGGCCAATTTTTGTGCTCCGTGGACCCTCTTCCGGCCGTCACGCACATCCCTGATATGCTTCTTATGCTGCATCAACCTAACCACAGGCAGTAGGCTGGATCTCCGCCGAGGATGTTGATCCCATCTGCCGACCATCTCCGGCCGTATCGCGTCTCCGATGCACGCGTATGCGTCTCGCCCGCGTTGCACGCCACGGCCATAAAGTCGTGCCGGTCTCGGAGATCCCCGCAAAGATTTCTTCTCGTCCCTTCGATATTACCCGTCCCCCCTTCATTTAACGCGGAATCAGAGGCAAGCTTTTGACTGCATCTCCCCCTCCCCCTCTCCGTCTTCGTTGGAATACTTCGATCCGGAAATACATGATGATGCCTTTGGTTTAATTGCATGTCTATCACCTACTCATCTTGAGTTGTATCATAATCATCAGGCAGAGGATAGAGATGGAAGCGGGCTAAGTGAATCCGTAGAAGACAGCCGGAGAGCTTCATTTTTGTATTCATTTGCTTAAATCATTTCCTCGTCCATAAATACCCAATTAAACCAATCGGTAGTGCTGCTTGGAACGATCTGAAATCATTGACCTTGTTTTCCGTTCTTGCATGTCGTACGTGCATGGCCGCTCGTCCTTGAAGTTCTTCAGTCTTCTTCCTCCTCCCCTCCTACCATTCATGTTGAAATAAGATGAATGATGCTTATGACGCAGGCCTCTTCTTCGGAGACAACAAATGGTATCGTAGATCATCAAAGCCGAAGTCCCAACGGCTACACATCTGATGGCGACCGGTCGAGGCCCTCGTAATCTTTGTAGCCGCATTCAAGGCCATGGGGGCCGCCATGGTTGGGACATTCATACATGCACCATTCCCCGTGTTCATCAATGCAACCCGCCCTCTTTAAGCTGGGTATCAGATGGGCGTCTGAATCTGAATCACCTCTGTCACTGCTTGCAGGCCAAGATTCTCTCCCTCCTCTCTCTTTCATACATCTTTCGTGGTGCCATTGAATGAGTCTCACTGGAGCTTTCGCTGAAGCCCTCGAAAGGGAGGTATCATCAGTACTGAAGCTGCCATATACGGGCACCATTATTTTATGTCGACACACACACACATACAATGATGCTTTAAGTCTCTTGTGAGTTATATGCATATCTGCGGCCTTCCATGTGTGATCTTTGGAGGGCCGCCAAATCAGATTGAGACAGCCAGGCATTTATCGCTTGCCTGATGATTTCTTTTCGAAACATATCTACCATAGTATTCTTCTGTTGCAATTATTATGATGTCTGGCTTTCTGCTTTGCCCTTCCACTGGTAGGCTTAAGTTTGGTTGCTAAAACAAAGTAGGAATCATATCATTGGAATTTGTTGGAAGTTTCCTGCATTAAAATGACCACACAAGGGCTCGTGATGCAGCTGTCAGAATACCATTTAGCAGCATTTATCACCCAAGCATGGCGAGCCGATTCGATGCCACCTCCATGGAGCTTGATAAGATCAAATGGATGTCTCCACAGCCAATCCCTCGTTTTCCTCTACAGAGATATCGATGCGAAAGCATGACTTTGTTTTGTGTTCACCGGCCGTTGGATGCGGTAAATGTGACAGTAAATGTGGAGCGGCTGACAGCTTTAGGAACATAACGAGGCAGAAGACGGCTGGTCACTAAATGAGGGGGCGATTGCGTCTCCTCCTCCTATTTATTACATTTAGCATGGCACTGTGTCTTTGTGGTGATCCCATTCAAGCCTTCTGACAGCGACTGTCATCGTTATCTTGCGCTGCTCTCACAAGCAGTGGAAATCCTTTTAGTCGATGTCATTCCGTGCCAAAGGGAAATTAAATGGTAAGGCAACACTTGATTGCACAACTTTTGTGATTTATGCTTTGTTGATTGCTTTTGGATTTACTTACTGGCAGTACTGCTCATTATTAATCTTAATAAATACTGTGCACCCCTCGGGGAAGGCTAAAAGACTGATGATGTGTGTCGTAATTCTAACATTTACATGCACAATGCACAGTTGCAATTTGCAGCTTAGCATTTCATAGATTGCACCTTAGCAGTACTACTCGGTGAACCACCTGAACGATGTGACGTCGGTGTGCTATCTACAAAACATGGATTAACAGTGAGCATATACGATGCATGATATATATACAATGGAAACATGAGAAAGAAGAGAAGGACAATGTTCTCACCCATCGATGAAGAACACGACCACTATTGTCCATCAGAAGTTGATGAACTAGAATGTAGATGCCATGCCTGGTGGCGCAGTTAAAGCGTGGCCCCATCCCCTCCTCGATGTTTGCCCGTCTCCAATCTCCTCAGAGCTCAGAAACTAAAGCATGTGTACGGGTGTCTGAAGCACCTCAATTTAATGTGCATGCAGAGCATCTACAAAGCCCATGCAGATGCAATGGTCTTAGAGCCGGTGGCGTGTCCATTTGTTCTCGATCGGCTTCTTCTCCGTTTGCCATCTCTCCCCTCGCATCCCATTCCTTCACCATTCCACGATACCTTTCGAGTTCTTAGAGCTCTCCTTGTATATAGGCAAATATGGCCTGCAGCAGCTGCATGTTCGTCGTGTTCGTAGAGCTGCTCTTCTTGTAGTTCGATGTAAACCCTACCGGAGCCGCGGAACATAAGGTTACCGTGCTATATGCTCACTGACACTGAGAGCTGAAATATCGAGTCCATAGAACTCATCCTAAAAGTGGTGACTTGCTGCATTATCCAATACTTCTTCTAGATACCATGGGAGAAGGCCTGTCCGAGCTTTTTGAGCACCCGGAGTTCACGCGAACAGATTTGGCCGTAGACACCTCGCCGGAGGATCTTTTTAGCATCTTGGAAACTTTCGAGGATGCCATCACGAAGGAAGTACCCCTGTTTGACCCATTCCAAGGGAGTAACTTTAGCCCCAGGGTTGGCGAGCAGCCGAATACCGGCTTGGTATCTCAAGGGTGGTCTGCCGGGCCTTCGGAGACCGACGACGCTTTGGAGGAAGCCGGCCAAGCTCTGAAGAAGAGGAAGCTGTCGGATTCCCCTGTTTCTCCTACCGAAGCAGGAATCCACGATGGGCAGCAGAAGACGTCGCACATCGCCGTGGAGCGCAACCGGAGGAAGCAAATGAATGAGCACCTGTCGGTTCTGCGCTCCTTGATGCCTTGCTTCTACGCAAAGAGAGTAAGATGAATTCGAGCAGCCACCTTCGTTGTTCTTTTATCATGCTTCGTTCCTTACATGCTCGTGTCTTTCCTATCTATCTATCTATCTATCTATCTATCTATCTATCTATCTATCTATCAACTTTCGATCAAAGGGAGATCAAGCATCCATCATAGGAGGGGTCGTCGATTACATCAAGGAGCTGCAACAAGTCCTGCAGTCCCTGGAGGCCAAGAAGCAAAGGAAAGTTTACAGCGAAGTGCTGAGTCCAAGGCCGCTGTCCAGCCCCAGGCCTTCACCCTTGAGCCCCCGGCCTCCACCTCTAAGCCCTCGAATGACCCTTCCCATCAGTCCGAGGACGCCGCAGCCAGGAAGCCCTTACATGCCAAAGATGCAGCAGAACTACGTCTCCCCCACGCTGGCTTCGTCCCATGAATCCTCTTCTCCTTTTTTCAGCAGCATCTCCGAGCTTGCAGCCAACTCCAAATCCCCTGTCGCCGATGTGGAGGTGAAGTTCTCGGGTCCTAATGTCATCCTTAAGACGGCGTCTCACCGCATCCCTGGGCAAGTTCTGAAGATAATTGCAGCTCTCGAGGGCCTCGCGCTCGAGATACTCCATGTTAGCATTAGCACCACCGATGACACCATGCTCAACTCATTCACCATCAAGGTAATGCTAACTGATTCGGATTTCCTCTTACCCAGCAAATGCTTACCAAATGTTCTTCTGCTACTACTTTCACAACCATCACCTTCTCTAGAACACCATGGATCACAGAAACAAAACCAAAAACTGCAAGCTACAAGATTTAATAGTCATTCCATGACAAAGTTGCTAGTAAAGGCTCTCACCTGCCGTTTAGCATAGATTTCAGCGAGTACACATACGGGGAACCAGCTAGCTTTATAGGCGATGGGAAAACCACATCGCATGCATGTTATTCCTTCTAACCATCTAATTAGTTCGACTTTTCCATGCAATATTGTTTCTTTATGCAGATCGGAATTGAATGCGTTCTCAGTGCCGAAGAACTCGCACAAGCGATTCAGCAAACATTCTCGTGAAGCTTCTCTCACTGGATCCTCCATATCTAGACTCTCTTTATCTATCCTCTCCCAAGGCCAAAGCTTCTGTAGCAAAGAGAACGGGGAAGCCTTGTTTGAATATGACCAACATACTTGTTACTCCATGTAATCTCTGGGTTTCTTCATTTCAATCTGAACCTTAAAGTATGACTCCATCCATTTTCTTAGCTCCATGCTAGCCACCGTAGCCATGAATGTTTGCCGGTGATACTTACTGCC